CTTTTGTTAAAATTTTGAGACAGGGTATCATTTAATTAGCCAGGCTGGCCTTAAATTTGATATCTTCCTATTTCAGCCTTCTCAGTAACTGGGATTGTAGGTGTGTGCTACTGGACTGGGCTCTTCCCTTTCTTGATGATGTCTTTAAAAGCACTTTTTTTTTTTTTTTTTTTTTGGTGATGTGTAGTTTGTCTATTTTTTCTTTATTTTAGGAAGGGATACACATTCATTCTTCTGCATGTGGCTATTCAGTTGTCTCCATCCTCTTGAAAATATTATTCTTTCACCATAGAATGGCCTTTGTTGAAAATCAGATGACCATAGATAACATGAATCTTAGACTCTATATTCTATTCTGTTGATCTATATATATATATTCTTTTGTTTTGTTTTGGTACTGGGGATTGAACCAGGGGTTGCTTACCACTAAGTGATAGCTCCAGCTCTTTTTTTAAATGTCTTTATTTTGAGGCAGGGTCTTGCTAAGTCCTTAAGGCCTCATTAATTTGCTGAGGCTAGTCTTGAACTTGCAATCCTCCTGCCTCAGCCTCCTGAGTCGTTAGGATTATATTGTGTACCACCATACCCATCTCTGTTGATCTATCTATACTTATTCAATACCATGATCTTGATAACTGTACTAAGTTTTGAATTTGAGAAGTGTGAATCTTCCAATTTTGTTCATCTTTTTCAAGGTTATTTTAGCAATTTTGAGTCCCTTGAATTTCTATATAAATTTTGGAACTAGCTTTTCAAATTCCTGCAAAAAAGTCAGTTTACATTTTGATAGGTATTACTTTGAATCTTTAGATCAATTTGGGGAGAATTGCCATCTGTGTTAGTCAGTTTTCTGTTGTTTTGGCAAAATACTTGATATAAAAAACTTAAAAAGAGGAGAGATTTCTTTTGGCTTACAGTTTCAGAGGCTTCAGTCCATGATCTCTTGGCCTTTTGGCTTTTGGCCCTATAATAAGACATTTCATTATGGCAGAAGAATGTGGTGGAAGAAAACTGCTCATTTCATGGTGACCAGGAAAGATGTGGGGAGGGAGAGAGGTGAAAGGGAGAGAAATAAAGATGGGGAGAGAAGGAGGAAAGGGATTTGGACAAAACACACCCTTCAAAGGCATGCCCCCATTGACCTGCTTCCTTTGACTAGGCTGTGCCTCTTAAAGGTTCCACTGTCTCCCAACATTGCTGTCAGCTGGGGCCAATCCTTTAACACACAAGCCTCTGGGAGACATTCCAGATTCAAACTGTAAACATTTTAACAATATAAAGTCTTCTGATCCATGAACATAGGATTTCCATCCCCAGACTCAAAGAACTGGCCTTGGCATTTCAGTTCTAACAGATATGGATGCTCATTTCAGGTGTCCCATATTTTCTGAGTTAGCATTAGTGGAATTGATTGTTAGGTATAATATAGAGGTTTAACCATTGCTTTTAAAGATAAATTGATAGATATCTGGAGATTTTGCAAAGAAAATAGTGTAGTAACTGCTTTATGCTTTCATAATTACCTTCACATTAAAAAGTGGCATGGTGGGCTGGGGTTGTGGCTCAGTGTAGAGCCCTTGCCTAGCACATGTGAGGCACTGGGTTTGATCCTCAGCACCATATAAAATAAATAGAGAGAGAGAGAGAGAGACAGACAGACAGACAGACACACACAGACATTGTGTCCCTCCACAACTGAAAATTTTAGAAAGTGGTATGGTCTGTTTTTTAGTTTGTTTATAGACTTAGTTAGACTTACCTTCAATACGTCTGGCACAGGAGAGGGATTGTTTCAAGTAAACTTACAGGTCTATCTCCTGGAGGCGGGGGTGTACATCAGAAGACTAGCTTAAGTGGTTGTAAAGAGGCAGGTACTTAAAAACTGCAAATAATTTTAAACCCTCTTGCATTTGTGTTTCTGTGGCATAAATGGTCCCCTGAGATTGTCATGGGCATGTATCAGTGATGCGATAATGCTTATCATCCATGACAAAGGATTTTAATGCATTACTGATGAAAAAGCAATTCACTACTAACTATTGTGATCTGCTGGCATGTAAGACATATCAGCAAAAAATAAGTTTCTCTTGTCTTGTATAATGTGCTTAAATATAAACATTCAGATCATTTGTGGGATACAGTGCTTCATCTGTACTAGCTTCATCAAGGCTTGAAGTAGAGTAGGTTATGCATATCTACTCGACTTCAAAAAAAGAGTAGGTTATGTATATCTACTCTACTTTAAAAAAATTAAGTAGGTGACACTTGTTATCAGAGATTATCTACCTGTTCTAAAATTAAAAGTTTATTTATTTATTTATTTATTTTAAGATACTGGAGATTAAACTCCCAGGGCCTCACACAGGCTACACGGGTGCTGTACTGTTGTGTTCCATGACTAAACACTTAAGGTCATTCTAGGTGAACTGGTCTGCACAAAATAATCACAGAGAGACAGAGAAATACCTTTTTCTTTGGATCCTGTGATGGCTCCTCTGAACTTAAAGGTCTGGAAAGAGAGAGCACATGCTGAACTCTTTTATTGGGGAGAAGCCATTCAAATGAGGCAAGGGGTCAGGTTCAGGGAGTTGAGTTTAGATTTATGATGTCTGCTCTCGGCAGGTTGACTGACATCTAGGAAGGCCATGCCCATCTCATGAGCTGTGTGGGGATCATGGCAGAGCAAGCGAAAAGACCAAGCAAGGCCAGCCCAAAACAGAGGGATGTCAGTTCAGTCCACTTGGTGTGCTCAGTGCTCATAGTTCACACACACACAGCCCATGGCTGGCTTGCCACATCTCCATATTCTCATCACTCAAGGTTAAGGGGTGCTTGGTTCGTGTGTGACAGCTCCCGACACTTTACCACTGAGGTATATTCCTGGCCCTTTTAAAATTTTATTTTGATATAGGGTCTTTGCTAAATTGCCCAGTATGGCTTCAAACTTGCTATCCTCTTTCTTCAACCTCTTTGTAGCTGGAATTACAAGCATGTACCGCCATGGTTGGCATAAAATTTGATTTTTAAAATCAGATTTTTTTTAAAGATCATTTCCTTGTATTCATTGGTTCCTTCCAGTTTCTTATTTCTTTCTGTTGCTTATTGATTTTAGCTATGCAAAGGAGTCCATTTTGTGAGTCCTTTTGTTGTTCTGTTTCTATAGTGACCTGTCAATGTGAGACCAGCCTCATAAATACCTTTGTACAGAGCAGAATTTTGGGAAAGGTGATATAAATGTCTGCTTGTCAAATGTGGCCTTAGGGTTGTTAGGTTTTGTTGTTTGTCTTCCCTGCCTATCTACTACTACTACCTCATCCCAAGCATATGGTTAATAAATGAAATCCCTCAAGTTAGAGATTAATTCTTTTGGTTTAAAGCTTATATCCTTGTTAAGTTTCAAACAGCAAGAAACATTGCTACCTTAAGCCTTATGAATAATTTGTATTTAATTGTATATAGAATTTTGATAGATTTTACTGGGGGCATTGAGAAGAGAGAATGAAAAAGAACATAGTTCAATTACTAGCCACTTCAGGGGCATGTAGGAGGGAAAAAAAAAAAACAGAAAAAAGGCATGAGTGCCTGGAATTATTGAAGACAGCCTAACATACACAATTATTCTACCTAAGGGCAGCATTTTCTTGGTTCTCAGGAATGTCATCTTCCTGGGGGTCTTCATGATAACCCCCATCTTCTGTGAGAAATCCTTTAGAGCAGTGCTTGGTAAACTATAGGTCATGGACCAAATCTAGCCTGCTACTTGTTTTTATAAGTAAAGTTTTATTACAATATAAATCTTAGTCCATTTTGTGTTGCTATAATAAAATACCTAGATACTTTATAAAGGAAAGATTTATTAACTCCCAGATCTGGATGTTCAAGAGCATGGTATTGGCATTACTTTCTGGTGAGGGTCTCATAATATGGTGGATGACATGACATGGTGAAAATACAAGAAAGGGGAGAAGGGCAAGAAGGTAGGGAATATGAGAGATGTGAATATGGCAAGAGAGTGGGCAGAAGCAGTAAAAGCTTCTTTATAACAACCTGCTATTGAGTAAACAATGAAACCTAACTTGGTCTCTCAGGAAAGCATTAATCTCTCTTAAAGACCTCATCTCTTAAGACCCCATCATCTAAATACCATTACATTGGGGAATAAGCTTCTAGCATATGAACCTTTGAGGAACACACAATATCAAAAACCATAGCACATCACCATTCTCCTTCATTTACATATAAGCGGTTTCCATGCTAAAAGGCAAGTTGAGTAGCTGCAACAGATTCAGCCACACACCTGAAATATTTATGTGGCCCATTATAGGAAAAGTTTGCCAACAACTGGTCTAGTGAGTCTAGACTTTTAGAAGGTTAAGCATGGATCATGGATATTTTGAATTTATATTAGACTTCTTAACCTCCAATCTTACTATTGTATATGCTCAAGAGCAGCAGTTTTAAGGAAACATAACTGCTTATATCAGGATGAGTGCTTGATTGTGAAAAAAGTTTAACTTCAAAAATATAGTAGATGAATAAAGTGCTTAAACCTAAGTAGACAATGGAGAATTAATCTTTGATTATACATGTACCTGATCCACCAGCCTCTTCAGCATACTCCCATTTTAGAGAAATGTTACCATTTTCCTCCTAAAAAGTCATTTTCCTTTTTTTTTGAATACCAGGAATTGAACCCAGGGGCGCTTAACCATTGAACCATAACCCTAATCCTTTTTATTTTGAGACAGGCTGTCACTAGGCTGCTTAGGGCCTTGCTGACTTGCTGAGACTGACCTTGAATTTGAATCCTCTTGCCTCAGCTTCCTGAATTGCTGAGATCACTGGTGTGTTCCACCACATCTGGCTAACTTCTGTCATTTTTGAAGATGAAACATTTATCATTATCTATTTAAGTCAAAATATGAAATTAAAGATAAAATGCTAATCTCATTCTTAGAAAAGTATTTTAGCTCAGTTATGTTTCTCTTCACTCCTCTTAGCTTGAAGTCCATGGCCCAAGATGACTCTACCAGTGGAGACTCTCTTCTATAAAGAAGGAAACTGGATCAGAGGCTGGGATGAGCATGCCACTGCATCAGATCTCTGCCATTCCATCCCAGGATGCTACTTCTGCTAGAGTCTACAGAAGTAAGACCAAAGAAAAGGAGAGGGAAGAACAGGTAATGGGAGAATACATTTTTTTTTTTAGTTTTCATTAAAAGTTCATTAAATATAATCTTTAATAATACTTAAGCTCTAAAATCAGGGTTTCCTTAGGTAATATACTAATAAGCACACAATAGTTGTGCTTAGAAGAGATTGTCTTTTGGTAGTTTTCTGATTTTGATGTAAACTTACTCTGTTCATAAATGGTTATAAATGGTTTATCTATTGGTTAAGTCTGTATGCCTGATTACTTCTGATAAATCACTAAGATAAAGTTCGTGCGGGGCACAGTGCTACATGCTTGTAAACCCAATGGCTCTGGAGGCTGAGACAGGAGGATCACGAATTCAAAGCCAGCCTCAGCAAAAGCAAGTCACTAAGCAACTCGGTGAGACCCAGTCTCCAAATAAAATACAAATTAGGGCTAGGGATGTGGTTCAGTGGTCGAGTGCTCCTGAGTTCAATCCTTAGTACCCCCTGCCCCCCCAAAAGATAAAATTCTTTTAATTTTCAGAACATGATATAAAGCATAAATTTATTTGAAGAAAAATTTAGGAATGCTTTACTTGGTTAAAAGGGTACCATAGTTAATACCACTGAGCCTCTCTCTGCCCTTGTACTTGTGATGTGGCTTGAAAATAACTATGCATTAGAGTCTGAGAAGTTCAGGATGGAGAATGTTTAGGACTTCTAATCCCAGCCAGTGGGGTCAAGGAAGTCTTCTTGGAAAAGATGGCATTTGTGCAGAGACCTGAAACAATGATCTGGAGTTAGGAGAAAGGGAGGAGGCATAGTATGCCAAGTTGGGGAAATGCTACATGCCAAATTCCTGAAGATTAGAGCAATGTGAATTTGGAGAGATTAAAATAAAATAACTTGAGCACAAAGGTCAGATTGTTTAGTGGCAAGATAGGAAGCTGGAAAAATCAGCAGAAAGCCACTTTAAGGAGTTTGGATTTATCTGTACAAAGAATTGAACGATCAGATTTTTGTTCTTAAGTTTCCCTGAGACTGCAGTTTGTAGAATGAATTCAGTAAGTTCTGGGAGAGCAGAGGATTATTTAATAGCTTAGTTAATCTAGGTTTGGTATAGTTTTTCTGTACAAGGCCAGATAATAAATAAAGTTATATGTTGCTTATAAATAAGGATATGAGATATGCATGTATGAGTATGTCACAGTGAATATTATGTGTAACTATAATGCACCAATAAAATTTAAAAAAAATTATGGGGATACATTCTGGGAAATAGACTATAAGGCAATTTTATCATTGTGCCAACATCATGAGAGTGTACTTGTATAACTAAGAGAGCCAAGGAAGGAGTCACTAGGCAGTGTAATCAAAACATTATGTGGTGTCTGATTGTATTTTAGACTTTGTGGGCCAATCACACTCACTAACTTTGCCATTGTGATATGACAACACTAAGACAATATGTCAATGTTTGGACCTGTGTTCCAATAAAAGGTTGTTTACAAAAACAAGTGGAAGCTGTATTTTAAAGATAGGCCAATCCCTGAAGATCCTTGGCCTAGGGAAAAAGGTGATGGTGATATCATCTGGGATGGGTTAATGGAGTATTTAGTTTATTTCTTAATTGGACTTGTTGAATATATGTGGGGAGGCACAGGAAAGAATAAAGGATGACTTCCTGCTTTCTCCATTGCCTTTGCAACGTGCTGTATAAACATATGCCAATTAGTTCTTGTAGAATTTCTATTTCATAGTTAAACTGATCTTTACCAAAGACTAAGAAAAAAATTAATAAGTGTCATTCAATTTGAAGTTATTGTAGTTGATTGGACACCATTCTTTCCATTATTCCATAAAGAATTAAAAAAAATCTATCATATTCTAGCTCTTTTGAAGTACCTGGACTTCAAAATGAAAATTTCTATAAATGAAAATAACTCTCTCTATTCTTAGTTTGTGTTTTCCCACACCCTTTTTTGTTTAGCTGAGCACTTGGGAGAAGTGTGACCAGCACTGGTTGAAATGCCAGCTGTGAAGGTAGTGGTAAAGTAGATAATTGTTAGTTGTATTAATATTTTTCATTATTTTTTCTCACTTGCTAGGGTTGAAAGAAGACCCTCAAATGTCTTTCCCATATTCTGTCAGTGGAAGATTTATTTAAATTAATAGTCTTTTCTTATAACCCTTCTTTAACCCAAATGGTTTTTTAAATATAACTAAATCTTACTGTAAGGTACTTGCCTATACCAAGTTGAGACTGCCAATTTCTTTTTTTTAAAGTTGGTAAATATTTATTCCTCTCAGCACTCAGTTTGACCTTGATGAGACTGCCAATTTCCTTTTCATTGTAGGTTGAATTTAGACAATAGATGGCTGTAATCTCTTGGTGTGTCTCTTAGTCTGCTCTGGCTGCTGTAACAAAATAACATAGTCTGGGTGGCTTAAATAATAAACATGTATTTCTCACAGTTCTGGAGTCTGGAAGTCTGAGGTCAGGGTTCCTACTTCTGACTGTGTGTGAACAGTTGCCTTCCTGTGATGTCCTCATATATTGAGAGGAGAGAGAGGAAGCTTTTTCATGTTTCTTCACAGAAGAGCACTAATCTCATCATGAGCTCCACCCTTAGAGCCTAATTTTTCTCAGATGCATAATTTCCAAATACCATCCCATTGGAGACTAGGGTTCCAACATAGGAATTTGGAGGGGGGGTGAGATAAACATTTAGTCCATAGCAGTATATGAGAGTCCATGCATATGAGAAAGTTACACGTACTTGGTGTGGAACAGAAAGGAAGATATCCAATATTTTAGTCAAGAAGGGAAATTCTTTTTGATATATACCCTACTTTGTTAAGTGGATATTCAATAAGTGCTTACTGAATTGATCTATTTTATAGTATGGTTTTTAAAGGCTTAAATAAATAGCATTGACTTGTTATATTTATAGAATTGGGATTTTGATTGGTTTTGGGAAGATAGAGGAACTATCCTGTTCCTTCTTTGTGAGGGGAGTAGTTTGAACCTGTTGGCAGCCTGACCATGCTGGAAATCATGGTGCCACTGTGCAGCTACAGGCAGTGAAACAGCAGTTAAGACAGGATCTTGCAAGACCCCCAGAGCTTCCATCTTATCATTCACTGTTCTCAAAACTACGAAGGTGAAATTTATCCCATATTTGTTTCATGTTACCTCAAAGGTGAATTTATGCATGATTTTTTCTATAGCACCCACTGGATAAGCCTGTCTATAATTCTGTGGAGAGTTAATGGACTTTTACATAATAGCCAGTATGGTTGATGAATAAGAAAAATATTTTGTAATCCACAAAAGGATATCTGTTACTGTCACTTTCTTGAAGAAGCATACATATTTTTAGGATTTTATAGATATTGATCCATTGCTTTTGAAACTGTGGTCTGCACTGGGAAACTTGATTTGGTGGTTAAATTTGTATCTTTTTTAGTGTGAGAATTATTATTATTATTTTTGGTAATACTGGGGATTGAACCCAGCACTTATTTACTTCTGAGCTACATCCCTAACCACCCCCCCAACATTTTTAAAATTTTGAGACAATATCTTGCTAAATTGTTGAGGTTGGCTTCAAAATTTTGGTCCTTCTGCCTCAGTCCCAAGTTGTTGGGATTACAGGCATTCGCCACCATGCCTGGCTGTTGTGAGAATTTTAATTAGATAATGTTAATGGGATTTAAAAATTTTTGTTTTTTATTGGTGCATTATAATTATATATAACACTAGGATTCATTGTGGTATATTCATATGTACACATAACAATTTGGTCAGTTTAATTCCCTAGTAACTCCCTTTTCTCCCCCCAACCCCCACCCCCTTCTTTTACTCTATCTTCTGTTTTTGCATCTTTAAGATCTAATGTACATCTTTAAAATATACCTGTTCCAAATTACTTTTTGGTTAGGCATTACCATCTGTGAGAACATTTGCATGGCTTCTTAAGTCTTCCATCTACCTAACCTCTAGCCCTTGACCCGCGCTGGCTTTGTGAAAGAAGGTTCGAATCCTGAGAAAACGCTAGGGAGCTTTAAATTAAAGAGACAAGACTCTAATTACCTTTAAAACCAGCTCCAGGAGAGCTTCTCCTAGCTCCATCCTCCAGCCACCTAATGCGGTAGCGAGGTTTACTGAAGAGGCTAGTGAGAGAGAGAGAGAGAACACCCCAGAGAGTGGACTTTCATTGGGGAACAAAAAATTCCCGGGAAAATCCCACCCAATGAAGATTAAGGGGGCAGCATCCCAAGGTCAGGGGTGACGATTGGGTCTTCCGGGCAGTGGCCAGACACGCCTCTGCACGGCCAAGCCCTCAGACCTGGAGAAGGGTGGGGAAAGCTCTGACACAGCTGTGTCTAAGTGCCTCTCACCCAGCCAGAGAGGTAACTCAAATCATGTGCGAGGATGGCCTCCCACACTTACCTGTGAGGGCCTCAAGAGATTATTTGTTGTAGTCCATTTTCTGTTGCTATAACAGAACACCTGACACTGAATATTTTATAATGAAAAGAAATATAGAATAAAAGAAATATTAAATTCAAGTTAATCCATTTATAAAGCTTATTTAGTTCATAATGTTCTGCCTCACCTCCAGCCCCAAGGAATGGAGTTGGCTGTGTATGGCCTGAGACCTCTGAAACTATGAGCCCCCAAATAAACTTTCCCTCCTCTAAAATTGTTCTCATCAGTCCTTTGGTTAGAGTAGTGAAAAAGATGACTTAAAACAAAGGGAAATCTCTTCTTCTAGAATAAACTCAGCTTTCTTCTTTCTCATATACTGTGCCTTTCTCTGTCCTGCCCAGTGTGCATGGACCTTACCATGTCTTCTCATTGGCTCATGCTTCTGTCTAGCCTTTCTGTGTGTGTTACCTACCTGTGTGGTCTAGGGGGACCCTTCCCTCTCCAGCTACATTATGAACCATGAGCTGGTGTGGCACTTTTTGTGCAGTTGAGGTGGATGGGAGGGGGAAGTCATGAAGTGTGGTAAAGGGAGAAGGGAACCAGCTTAGC